AAGCTACTGGGATGTATGAACGATCCTAATTGGTCGGTTTTAAGCTACTGGGATGTATGAACGATCCTAATTGGTCGGTTTTAAGCTACTGGGATGTATGAACGATCCTAATTGGTCGGTTTTAAGCTACTGGGATGTATGAACGATCCTAATTGGTCGGTTTTAAGCTACTGGGATGTTAGAACGATCCTCATTGGTCAGTTATAAGTTACGACATAAAGGTGGATTCTCAAAGGATCATTCGCTAAAACTTATCGTAGGTTTAAGAATTCATTTGGTTGATTAGATTAAGATACTGGGTTAGGTTAGGTTAGGTTAGGTTAGGTTAGGTTAGGTTAGGCTAGGTTAGGTTAGGTTAGGTAGGATACAAAATTACCTACCAAACTTCGTAAATATTTGCTTGAAGACAGACATTCGTGTATATGAATATTACTCAGTGTAAATATCCGTGTGTTGGAATATTTCTCAGATGAAAGTACACACACACACACACACACACACACACACACACACACACATAGACTTTACTTTTTGCTTTGGTTTGTATATTATTTAGCCTCAAGTGATATACAGAGTTATAGTTTTGATACAAGCCTCTCTCTCTCTCTCTCTCTCTCTCTCTCTCTCTCTCTCTCTCTCTCTCTCTCTCTCTCTCTCTCTCTCTCTCTCTCTCTCTCTCTCTCTCTCTCCTCTCTCTCTCTCTCTCTCTCTCCCTCCTCCGGCACTAAGGTGACCTCTGCCAGATGATTACTTGCACAATTACAGGTATTAGGTGACAATTGTGAGATTATGAGAGGTGAGTTAGTGAGGATGATCACTGATGGTGTGTGTGTGTGTGTGTGTGTGTGTGTGTGTGTGTGTGTGTGTGTGTGTGTGTGTGTGTGTGTGAGATAAATAGAAATGTAATTTTGTAAGTTTATATAAGTTTATGAAAGTGCCTATATCCATCCACCCATCCATCCACTTCTCCTATTATCCATCTCTCTCATCCACACAATTCTTCCACCTTTCTACTTCTTGTTTTATTCACGTGTCTCTCTCTTCTCTTTCCTCTCGTCTCTCAAACTCCTCCATCTGTGGTGTTTACTTTCACTGAGGAGAGTCTAATGCTTTCTCCTCCTCTTATTTCTTTCTTAATATTGATATAAACCTTAATGAAAGTGTAAGGGTACAGGAGTGTGTCCATGGGTGTGGGTGTGGGTGTGGAGTGTGGGTGTGTGTGTGTGTGTATGTGTGTGTGTGTGTGTGTATATGTGTGTGTGTGTGTGTGTGTGTGTGTGTGTAAGGGGTGTGTGTGTGTGGGTGTGGGTGTGTGTGTGTGTATATGTGTGTGTGTGTGTGTGTGTGTGTGTGTGTGTGTGTGTAGGGGTGTGTGTGTGTGTGGGTGTGGGTGTGGGTGTGGGTGTGGGTGTGTGTGGGTGTGGGTGTGTGTGTGTGTGTATATGTGTGTGTGTGTGTGTGTGTGTGTGTGTAAGAGGGTGTGGTGTGTGTGGGTGTGGGTGTGTGTGTGTATATATGTGTGTGTGTGTGTGTGTGTGTGTGTGTGTGTGTGTGTAAAAGTTATTGTGTGTGGGTGTGTGTGTGTGTGCCTATATATTTTTTACTTTCTTTAAATCATTGTTTTTAATTTGACATCATTTCGTTCTCGTTATACTATTGCCTCACACAGACGACACACACACACACACACACACACACACACACACACACACACACACACACACACACACACTACCCATAAAAAAATATTAAATTGTCGACATAAATAAAAATAGAATGAGGTGAGAGTCAATTAAAGTCCATTATATATAACTAAATGAACTACACCAGACAGACAGACAGACACATAAAGACACATACTGAGAGATAATTTTAACATAGACTTAATTACAAACAAGAACAGACAGATAACATAGTATATTTACTCATTGGCAACTCTGCATTCAACAACGTAATGACTCACATCAACCAATCAGAATCTTTCCAGCTGCGCCAATTAACCTGGGCAGTAGGATTTTGACCTCTGGTGAGCAGTGACATAGGTGTGGGATACTGTACTAGATATACCACTTATAGTTAGGTGTGTCAAATGGTTTCCAGGTTCACCCACTTACAGGTAACGTAACCTAACCTAACCTAATCCATTTAGACACGAGATAGGATGAATAAACAAGGTCACCCTCGTATGTTAAGAGGCCCCACTGAGTATTGACATTGAATCACACAACACCAAGATTCACAAAGATCCTGACGACAATTTTTTTCCTCCAAACTAAAGAACGAGAGAATCTATTTATTTACAGTCGAGTTTCAGTGAAGTTTGGAAGCCATTTAGTTGCACACTGCGTCCAATTACGTAAGGAAAATATTTTACATACGAACCTTTGGGTATAGGAGACGTTATGTGTGTGTGTGTGTGTGTGTGTGTGTGTGTGTCCCCTGTGTTTCCTTTATCAATAGTTGGCCAATTAGTGTCGTCAGCCACACAGGTAAACACGGCAGTTAATTACCACCAATTATTTATATTTCCTGTGCGATATATTTTTTACGGCTATTGTCTGTCTGAATGTTGAATCACGTGTTAGTCTGTCTGTGTGTTTTGATTTTCGTATTTTTACTTTGTAATGTTGGGTTATTGGCCTCGTCTGTCTGTCTATATATCTGTTATTTTCCTCTCTGTTGAGTGTGTGTGTGTGTGTGTGTGTGTGTGTGTGTGTGTGTGTGTGTGTGTGTGTGTGTGTGTGTGTCTCTGGCTGTCTAGCTAACTTACAGTGTCTGTGTGTTTGTCTGTCTAAATTTATGTTTCTGTCATCTCCATTAGTGTCTGTCTCTCTGTCTATCTGTCTAGGCTTCTTCTTTTTCTGTTACTTTATGCAGCCCACTACTGACTGACTGCCTGTCTAACTGTCTAACTGACTGACTGGCTGACTGACTGCCTGCCTGTCTAACTGTCTAACTAACTAAATACCATAATGACTTTACAACCCAATAAGACCTTGATATCTAACATTACTTTATCTTCCTACAGACTGACACGCCCAGACAACAGAACATGGTAAGTACACAGTGTCTCAGTATACCAGACGTGATGTAGTTCTGTAATTCTCAAATATTACACATCGATATTTATACATAGATCCAGGGATTAAACCTCCACTTAATATTTAACGTAATAGTGAAATAAAAACAATAACAGAAGCTTAACGAATAAATTAATTGGTATTATTGGTATTTTTTTTTATTGCGTGCATCTTACCGGAGACCTCGTGGTGGTAACGTCAGGTACTAAGATAAATCAAGACTTGTAGCAGTGTTAGGGTAGGTTAGGGTAGGTTAGGGTAGGTTAAGGTAGGTTAGGGTAGGTTAAGGTAGGTTAAGGTAGGTTAGGGTAGGTTAAGGTAGGTTAGGGTAGGTTAAGGTAGGTTAGGGTAGGTTAGACACAGTTGGAATGGATTTAGATAGTGCCGACATAGAGAGTTAAAAATCCTTGTTTAATGCGTTTTAGTGATTGAGTTTAAATAGGTTTTGGGGCCACAGCTCTTAAACGTTTTACTGGCACAAGGTAATTATGTGTTTTGGCACTAAAAAATATTAAATGTTTTACCAGCAGCGCGTTTAATTTGTAATATACACCACAGGTTATGTTTGGGCTCACAGAAAATAAGTATTTTGGTCAGTAAATGGGATCTAGATATAACTACAGTGCATAAGGAATGAATAACACCAGACGGGCATAAAATGAATAATATACGTGAGAGCTGCAGTTAAATTCACACCCAGACATTACCTTTTATTCATGAACAGACTTACTTGATTTTGGGCGTGAAGAGATTACATTTTTTTTTTAATGGGAATGCTTAAATTATTTTTGAAATGGCGGCAGAGAATTTAAATTTTTGGGGGAATATCAAATTCTCTTTAATGAATGGGATTGTTTTTTTTTTTTGGAGGGGAGAGAATTTAGAGGTTAAATGTGTTTTGTTTTTTTCATTTGGTGTTAATGCCTTGTGAAGCTTTGTTTAAATGTTGTATTAAGCCATGTTTAAATGCCTTATATAGATAGATTGGTAGGTTGTTGTTGTTGTGGTGATGGTGGTTGTTATGATTGTTGTTGTTGTTGTTGTTGTGATTGTTATTTGTGTTATCGTTGTTGTTGTTAATGTTGTTGTTGTTGTTGTTGTTGTTGTTGTCTTATTTAGCAAGGGTTGCCGCCAGTCAGCGTGAGGTCTTTACCATGAACAGTATAGTGGATTTCTGTGTTCTGTCACCTCGTCTGTCCTCACGTGGATTGGTAGATTTTTTTTTCGCACGTGAACAATATATTTTAGGAAGTATGGTATATAACAGCTGTTGTTCATCCTGGAGTGTAAACAACAATGTGTGTGTGGGTGTGTATGTGTGTGTGGGTGTCGGGGGAGGGGGGGGGATGTGTGTATGTGGCTGTGTGCTCTCCCTCATCCTACACCCTTCCCCACCACCACTCCCTCACCCCACATCCCTCCCTACCACATCTCCCTCACTCTACACCCTCTCCACCCCCCTCACTACCTCTCCCCCTCTCCCTACACCCCTCACCACCACCTCTCCCGCCCACACAACCAATTTCCACTCATGGTCCTTCAGTAAAATAAGATCCCGACCAAAATTTTCATAAAACAACAAAAATATTTACACAATTCCTTTCTTCTTGTCTTGACCGAGATAGCAGGTGACCTCCGAGTCTCCCAATAACCCAGGGAAATATTCTGAGAGAGAGAGAGAGAGAGAGAGAGAGAGAGAGAGAGAGAGAGAGAGAGAGAGAGAGAGAGAGAGAGAGTTGTCTCCTTGTAGAAAATTGGTTACGTGAGAGATAGAGACTAGTACAAGAGATGGTATGAGTAGAAATAGAGACGTATATAAATTGTTTTTCGTAAGATTGTATTGTTCGTGTGTGTGTGTGTGTGTGTGTGTGTGTGTGTGTGTGTGTTCACCTTGGTTCAGGATTTATGGAAAACAATAGGTAGAGTCTGGTTAATTATTTGTATATTGTATTGGTTTTCAACACAATCTGGGTGTGTTGTATATAAGTCTTCAACCAATCAGAGAGAAGAAAACTGTATACAGAGTCTGTGCTTCACTGTGATTGGTTAGAAGTCTTATTTGGTACAGCGTTTCAAAAGTACATTGTTGTGTTCTATATTGTTACCTGCGGTTTACTATATACAGCCTCAGTACACAACACAGCCTCCCTACATAACACAGCTCACTACACAACCTCACTACACAGCCGCAGCCAATCATAGTCGCCTCAGCTCATATCAACAACATAATACCATATATCCTTCAGTTCAAGTTCAAAGTCCTTATTAAGATCAACATCCAGGGAGACTAGGAGCCTAAGGGAGTCCTTCTCATAGCTATAGTTGCCCGAGAAAAGATCCTGCTGGTTCAGGAGGATCTGTGAGGGCTCCTTCTCCACCCCAAGGAACTCCAGATCCACCATCTTCAGCTCACCGAGGTCTTCGTTCAAGTTCTTCAGTACCGTCACCTTCAGTATATCCTGCAGGAGGAAGAGTTGTGATGTTAGAGGAAGGCAGTATGTTTACGACCCTGCAGGAGGAGCTTGGTGGGCTGTGAAAGCCTCTGGGGTACAGTGTGATCCTACGCTGGTGTTCTACAGGCTGCTCTTGGCTGTGGGAGGATACTAGGGGTTGTGGGAGGTTGTGGGGCGCTACTGATGGTTGTGCGACGCTGGTAGGAGTTGTGGGATGCATCTAGGGGTTGTCGGAAGTTTCCAGGAGGCTGTGGAAGGTTGCCAAAACCCCTAGTAGCCTCCTACATCCCCTAGCTTCCTCACACAATCCCTATCTGCATCCCACAAACCCTAGCAACCTCCCACAACTTCAAGCAACCTCCCACAGCATCCCACTAACCCCCATACGAGAGTGTAGGGGCGAGCGAATACGAACACTGGGGTGCATCTTCAAGTCTAAGGCTTTATCAAAGTTTGCTTAAGGTTTCCCTCTGCTGAAATGTTGCCTTTGAACTAATAATTCCTGGCTGAATGTGGCGTGGCTTTGTGGCTTCAGTAATATTGCCTTTTGGCTTCGTTTATTCACTCCCAAAAGGACTGATATAACCTAATATACCTACTGCACCACCACCACACCTCACCGCACCTCACTATAACCTGCCACATCTCACTACAACCCACTACAACCCACTACAACCCACTACAACCCACCTGGACGAAGGTAAACTCCACGAAGCTGTACTTCTTGTTAGTAACAGTATTGATGGCCTCTCCGTCGTCCCAGAAGAGGTGGCCAGACGCCCTTCTGTCCAGCCCTATGGCCACCAGGAGTCCCATAGGTTCCTGTCTGGCCAGCTGGGTGTTGAGGGCCGGTCTCTGTGTGGGTAGGATGTGGCCACCTCGCACGTGTAGAGGGATCTGGTCACGAGGAGCTGACACTTTGACATACTCCCCCGGCCATTCCACCGGCTGTCCCTGTGGAGATAATGATGATGTTTATACTCAGAGTAGATGCTGTGAGAACTCTATATAACAGTCTCTTCTCTCACTCCCCCCACACACCCCCTCCCCCCACCATCTACACCCCTCCTCTCTACCCTTACCACCTACACACCTCCTTCCCCACCGTGTAAATAATTTTAGCAATAGAAAAAATAAAATGGTGATTTAAAAGCTTCCGTCTAGTAATAGTAGTAGTAGTTTTAGTAGTATTAGTAGTAGTGACTTACCGTGTAGTAGTCGTACCAGGCATCATTAGGGAAGTACACGTCCCTCTCGATAGCTCCTTCAGTCAACACAGGCGACACCATGAAGGCTGGACCCCATAGGAACTGGTCATCAATACCCAGGGTCCGACGGTCGCCTGAGAACCTGTGCATAAACGAGGAACCATTATCACACACACACACACACACACACACACACACACACACACACACACACACACACACACACACACAAGAGGTTCATCAAAGTGAGCAAATGAACAAAAGACGATCTTTTGAAAGTAGCCACGAGGCTTTGAGGATCTGGAAATAAATGCCTGAGGGAGGGAGAGAGAGGATCAGTGTCTCTTTAATGGTTAAACAAATATAAAAGCTGTCACTGTTGTTTTCTCCTGGGACTGTCTGGCACTGTCTGGCATTGTTTGGCACTGTTTGGCACTGTCTGGCACTGTTTGGCATTGTCTGGCACTGTTTGGCATTGTTTGGCACTGCTCTAAGTCAGGTAACTTTTTAATATGTTTCCATACATTATTGATGGACTCTGCCTTGTTGTTATGAGTTTAGCTGTTGTTTATGTCAAGAGTATGTATGGTACCTTAGTGTGACATCACCTAACAGACTTGTCATTACCTACACTCACCTCTCCTCTTCACCTACACCACCTCCTCCATCCACAACCATGGTCCTACTGATGACCTGACAATTAACACACACACACACACTCCCCTACACAATCCACTTCCCACACAATAAACCTACTTT